AACACCAGCAACAAATGTCCTTGTACCAGGGATACTCGTACAGGGGATGAATACCATGGTGAAGATGTCAAAACTGAAGCTTGGTTACCATACAATCTAGTAACACTAGTTAAAATTGATGAGCTGACTTCAGCAGCAAACTTCAACAGTAAAAATTAATGTGCTAAGTTTAGCAGTAGGACTAGGTAGGTAGTAGCAGTAGGATCAGCAAACTCAGTTTTCATATAAAGGTTTCTATGTACCCCAATGTGGGATTAGCATGCTTGTGATCCCACAAACAGGGGTTTGCATTGGGATGCACATGACTAAAGGAGGGSTTCACTTTGGCATTCACATGTAGTAGTTAGTTACATTTGCATTGACATACACATGCAGCATATCATAGACTTGTCTTCATCAAAGTATAACTGTGAACTCATATTCATTATAGTATTCATCTTTATTTATAATTGCATTGCTGTCTATTAACAGAAGTTGCTGCCAAGCCCCAAGGTCCTTTTGGTGGTGAACCTCATTGGTAKTTGCTMGTAGCATYGTCCCCATGAAGACTGAAAGGATCTGGTTAATTAAAATATTTCCATTGTTTAATTTCTCGCTKGTCCCAAATTATTTTTCTATTAGTGGTCCTTACTCCTGCTGGGAGAAACATTCCAATAACTTTTTCATTGTGCTACAAACCATGCCTCCAAGCAATGTTAGTATCATTCTTAAGAGGARAAGCACCAAGGTTCTCAAGATTGTTGTAGCTTGGAAGTTGTTGCCTTGGTAGGAATGCTTTATCACAAAGGTTTGGAATGMCATCTGGCCAAATGGTGCTACTACTACAGTTATTAAACAATGGAAGTATCAATTTCATGACTMTGTTGTTTCTGTTCTCACCAGGAAGTCAGCACTACCTTTATCCTCCACTGTTCTCATACCAGTTGACTTTCCTGACATTTTTGGACCCTCCTTGATTGATATCTTTTTGTGCCCATATATTGCTCTTGTCCTACCAGAGAAAAGCAACAAAGAATTCAACGATGACACTAACTTTCCAAAAGCAGACCTTACACCAGGCTTGATTAGCAAAGAAGAGAGTCAGGCATTTTTTCCTCTCYGCCCAAAACTTGTGAAACTGAAGCCACTCTGTTTCTCTACCATCCAATGTCATCAACACTTCCTTTTTCTCATACTAATATAGTATTGGAGTTTATGAAAAAATCTTCAGGAGCATTCAGGGCAATACTACTGTTTCTACTACCAATACCAATCTGATTGCTTGTTGGTACTTCCCTCTACCATTGACTAAGAATTGTAGTAAACAACTACTGGAGAACTTCACTCAAGATAGTATGTTGGTCTTTGGTAGTAGTACATGCTCCTGAAAGAGACAACATTACTAGTACATTAAATAATTCCAGCATACAATGTGACGTAGTAGTACAGATGTACTACTATGCCAGTCTTGTTGTTCCTTTAGGTGTGCTTTCACTCACAGCAACTAGTACTAGAAGCAACCSTCATCCAGTAAGAAGAAGTAATTGTATTAGCTCCACTAACACCTCTGCTGGTCCACAATCTTAGATATTTTTCAGCTTTTTTTAAATATGTGTAACATTAACATTATGCAATGCTCAAAAAAATTGTGAGGCTTGTATTTTTCCTCACTTTTGTTTTGATTGTAGTTGCAGTATGGCTTGTGACTGAATTTATCATGTCTTGGGAGTGGGATTCTCTTTCATCTACAATTAACCAGTTTCATTTTGGAATGACCAATCATGATAATAACTCCTTGTTAGTGTGGTAGATGTCCTATCCACCAAGAAGGTTGACACCCACCAAAATGTTGTCATGGAGGTCTCTAGCATTGGCATTGTCCTTGCTAGTAGTATGCTCTGCATTGCTGATCCCCAACTCTGAGAGATTCTGGTAGTATTTCTTTTTTTAGGACTCAAACTTTTCCAACAAGACATCAGCAGTGTCTGTTTCTTTTCTCAGTCATCTCCTCTCGTAATTGCTGCTTGTCTTGGTAGTGAGAGGTGCTCTGTCAAGTTTTGAGGAGCTGACAAAGAATTGGTCCTCTTTACAATTTTGGAATGACCAATGGTGATGTTTATGACTACTAAATACTAARTATTCTACTACTACTAAGTCTYGGAAGGGATTGGGCTGTCTTTAGTCTTGGAATAACCAATTACAATAATGGCTAAATATCCAGCAAGTCATGGGAGGAATTGGGTTCTCTTAAMTTTTGGATTTACCAATAATGATCATACTGATKACTGAATATTCAACAAATAGTGCTTTTTTGGGGAGACTTGCTACCTAGTAGTATGACTGAGAATTCTTCAAGAAATCTTCTTGGGAGGAATTGGGTTCTCTTTAATGTTGGAATAACCAATTGTGACAAAGACTGATGCTTTTGATTTGTGGTAGGATTTTGGTTCTCTTTAATTCCATACTTCTATTGGTAGTACTGATTACTGTAATGACTGATTTTATTGAGTTTTGGGGGGAATTTGATTCTCTRAAGTATTGAAGTGGCTGATGATAATATTGATTGATTTTTTTGAGTCTTGGTACTATAATTTTGGTACTCTTCTTAAAGCTGGGAACAACCAATGATAAGAATGACTGATTTTTGAGTCTTGGGAGGAAGGAATTTGAAATAGCAATGATTGCTTTTTTATCCTGGGTGGAGATTTTGTTCTCTTAAATTTTGGAATAACTGATGACGACAATGACTAWTTWTTTTCATTCTTGGGGGGAATTTGGTCATCATAAATTTTGGAATGTCTGATCACAATAATGACTGTTAAGTCATGGGAGTTTTGAAATGACTGCTTTGAGTGTTTCTGTACAAACTACCAATATTTAAAAATTAATAATCTGGTTTTTATCATGGTACATGGATTCTGCACAAAAAAACAAATTTCTTCTTGCCTCTTTGGTAAGTCCAGAGCAGTGAGAATCATCAAGGTTACTTTGCTCCTGTGCAAAAGTGTTGGTGACAGTCCAGTGCACCATARCCAATAAGCATAGCAATGCATCAAACTGTGCACAATTGCTGTTGCTGTGACTAAAAAATACTCCTTTTGCTGATCAATTCAGTACTGATCATTTCTTGTTAAGAAAGCTACTACTCTTTCCTAATAATTCTAATTCATTGCTACCAGGAAGCAATTTAGTGTGTACTACAGCACCTCMACACCTGCCCTTCATGTAAGCTGCAGTTAGAGCTCACAAAATAAGGGGAYGGAGGGCTTGGAGCAAGGAAAGAAGCAGCAAGGACAAAAGTACCCCAGCTACTGCTGATTATATGAGCAAAGAACAAGACACAAAATGCCAAATTGAAGTGTCAGAGGAAAATGTGACGCATTGCTGTGGCTGCTGCTGCTGTTGTTGTTGTTTGGAAGAACTCCTGTTTGATGCTTAAAGCTTGTCAACAGCAGCTCAGCTATTCATTGCAGGGAYATCATAGAGGAAACAATGAAACAAGGATAGCAAGGACAACAAGTAGGAGCAAAAGAAGACAACAAAATGCTGAATCAGAATGCCACAGCAAAAGGAAACAAAACAACAAATTGAAACATATCTTCCTTGCTGCTATTTTTGACAGCRCAAGCAAACAAAGGAAGGAAAAATCAAAAGATGCATGGAGTGTATTGAAGACAAAGCAAATTGTGAATGCTGATCCACTAGGAAACAGAAAGCATTGCCATGTAACTGCATGTCAGTATTCAATGGCAATCTTGTGGCACAGGAAGCGGTATCACCATACATGGTGGCATTCTATGAAAAGCC